TAAGATAAAATAATATAAAGTTGATAAAAATGTCACATTGCGATGCCAGTTATCCAGTTATGAAAAAATAATATTAATGCTGAGATGTAAAGTTACAGTTGAGACATGAAATTGCAATTGTGAGATATGAAAGCGCAACTGACATATAATGATATAAAGTTGCAGTTGTGAGAAAAGGAGATACTATTTAACAATAAACAAAGATAATACATCAATCACAACTATGACAAAGCCAACAAATTCTAAAGTCACATTGTGAGATGTCATTAACGAGAAACAAAGCAGTAGTGAGCAATAGTCTCAATGAAAAATAAAATTCCAGTTGTGAGATCCTGAGTGAGAACTGAAAGTGAGAATTAATCGCACAATTAAGCTACCTTTTTATATTTCTACTCTGATGTGGAGTAAACAATCAAAATATGGTGTCTAAACAGGAAAGTTCAGGCCACATTGTGTCATTAAAAGGCATTACAGGGGCCGTTTATGTAATCAGTCAATGCTACGTCTCTGAACTCTAAGTGTTCTTTTGCTTTTTAAGCCCATCAATACAAGCAGCCACTAACTGTTTACAGCGTTTCTGTTTTAGCTCAGCTGCGTTGAAGGTGCATTGCATTAATGAGACAAACAAGAACTGCAAACTTTCTAGAATAATAGCCCTAACATAACATGAAAAATGTGAAGGAGAGCATAAACACACAATCACACACATTCACTCATTCTCTCTCACACACACACACACACACACACACACACCAAGAGTGTGTGCGTTTATGAGTGCATAATGACCTATGCTAAGGGCTCATGGAGATGGAGGAAAATAGACTGAAACGAAAAGGCTCCTCTGGGGAGTTCATTATGTGCAGGTAAATCTGACAGCGCATTAGACACATTCCTCCCGAAGAAGTTTCAAGACGAGCAGCACCTCTCCGGGAGCAGGAATGAAAATGTAACTCTTTAGTAAGATGACAAAAACAAAACGGATTACATGGAGAAACTTCAGAATTATAAAGCCAATGAACTGGAAATAGCGAAAGATCATTTCTTTCAAAATGTGACATAAATCCGAGTCAAACGGATTATTGAAGAAAAAAAAAAGAACGGCAGCTTGGTTCAATCCATGAGTTGTTGATTGGATGGAGGCAGATCAAAATGTAAGCTTAAAGTCGATTGAAAGAAAGTTCTGGTTTAAAGGGATACTCCACTTTTTTTTGGAAATAGGCTCATTTTACAACTTCCCCAGAGTTAAACAGTTGAGTTTTACCGTTTTTGAATCCATTCAGCTGATTTTCTGGTATTTTGAAGAATATCAGTAACCAGACCATTTCTGGTCTCATTGACTTCCATAGTATATTTTTTTCCTACTATGGAAGTCAATGAGACCAGAAACTGTCTGGTTACTGATATTCTTCTAAATACCAGAAAATCGGCTGAATGGATTTGAAAATGGTGAAACTCAACTGTTTAACTCTGGGGGAGTTGTAAAATGAGCCTATTTCCCAAAAAAAAGTGGAGTATCCCTTTAAGTGTTTAAGTGAACCAAATGACTGGAGAAGTCTTGTATATGCCACCAGACAGAAAATGACATTTTGATTAAAAATAAAAAAGAATGCGTGGACAAATTGTTCATATCATCTATCACACGCATTTAGAAAATGGGGTCCATTTTAATTTCTTGCCGACTTATAAAAGCGTCTGCAAAACAGGGCTACTTTGGAGACTTGCAAAAGCAGTCAGATGTTCTCCTCGTCTGCTAGTATAATTGCAGGTTTCGGACAACACACCATAGTGCAAATAGAGAGGGAGGGTTTTTTTGAGGTTTAAATCACATCATTTGCTTGAGTTGGGACAAACACAACCAAGCCCAGTGTATTCCAGTTTAGATAAGATAAGGACATGGCTATGTCCAGATATCACAGTGGAACTTACTGTAAGTCAACTGCAAATAAACACAAAACTGCAGCAGCCTTTCTCTCTCTGCAAAAATGCAAAGACACCCCTCGTGTTGTGGTGTTAGTTTCACTTCTTGTGATATTAAAAGGAACACAACAAAGGTTATCTCTCAGGAACCTCTGTTCCAGGAAGTTAAAGTAAAACAAATCACTCACAAACTATGATTCAGTACACAGAGACTGAAACTGTCAGCCTGCCCTTGTTGAGCTACATTCCTACACAAAGTAGTTTGGGATTAAACAGGACATTTTACTTTGAAAAACAGTCACGAAGGGCACGATTGAGTTAGCTTAATACGTGAACTCACAGAGGAGGGAAAGTACTAATAGAACATCACACACACTCGTCTCCTCCCCGTGATGCTGTCGTCCCTGCCGGAGCCCCTGGGCGACCCTGCACACACAGCCATCATTAGATCAAAGTCCGTGGGCGCTACGCTCTTAATACGAGCCTGTAATAGGTGCGCCAGCAGGGCCGCGCTCTGCTCAGCGATGTCACAAAGGTGCTTCATTAAGGGTTCCTCTTCTGGCAGCTTTCATTAAGGAAATTAATGTGGAGGGGCGAGGACAGCCTGCGTTTACGCCGCGAGAGAAAGCCGCCGTGCACAAAGAGGAACTACACAATAACAAATCTGCATCTCTTTGGAACGTCGCCCCCAGGGCCTATCATCCCAGCCTTCTTAATCACCATTAAAACAACTTCATTGTGACATTCAGAGCCTGCTGAATGATCACATCCCCGCACAGAGAGCAAATTGCAAATGAAATGTAGAGATCAGACGGCATCAGAGCACAGCCTCTGGGAGGTTGAGCAAATCTTCAATTCTCTTTTATATTGATGTTTATTGGCGGAGGCAACGGGGAGCAATAACGTCCCTCGCCTTCTCCGTCGTCCCTGCTATCTGAACCCACTTATTCACCGCTCGTGTGACGGCTGAGATTTTTTATGGCCAACTACCTCTTGTGCGGCGCCCTCGCTCGCTTGGCAATGGTCGCGTGTTGGTATGGGGTTCGCCGGAGGTTGCCGCCAACCCCGCGGCTCCTTATGAAAGGGCTGCAGAAGGTTAGCCGAGCACACCTTTTTTTCTGCAGCGCAGTGTAAAACGCCCGCAGGAGAGTATTTTCTCCAAAGCCGACGCTTAGGCTGAAAGTTAGCTCGGAACAAGTGGGAGCGAGGCGGTTCTGTAGCAAAAGGGAAGGATTGTCTTGTAGCGCTTTTCTCTGATGAGGCTTTACAGGAGTAGCAATTGCCTGAGCAGCCTTATCAGCCCAGGGGGACTAATGCTATTAGCGTTTGTGTGATAAACGCAGCGCAGTGGAACCAATACAGCCAGCTTTGCCACGTTACTCTGGTAACATGTTGTGTAAATTGTATAATACAGAGCTCGGCGACAGCTCTGTTTAACAACACTTCAATCCTGTAGTGCAGACTTGTGAATAGGATTAGACCTATAAGCTAACAGGGGCAGAGGGACTCAGAGAGGCCTGCAGTGTCATTGGGATGTCAAGTTAACTTTGAGTAAAGCCTATAAAATAAAAGAAAAACAACCTTAACTTGATATTTTATGGTATAGCTCTGGGCTCTATATCTATAGATATTAAAGGGTTAGTTCACCCAAAAATGAAAATTAAGTCATTAATTACTCACCCCCATGCTGTACCAACCCCGTAAGACCTTCGTTCATCTTCGGAACACAAATGAAGATATTTTTGATTAAATTTGAGAGCTGTCTCACTACCACATTGGCTGCCTAAAAGACCTGCTCTTGACGGCCCAGAAAGTCATTGAAGAAAATGTTTAAATATCCCATGTGACTACCGTGGCTTAACTATAAGTTTATCAAGCGACGAGAATACTTTTTGTTTTTTCGCACAAAAAGTATTCTCGTCGCTTGATAAACTTATAGTTGAGCCACGGTAGTCACATGGGATATTTAAACATTTTCTTCAATGACTTTCTAGGCCGTCAAGAGCCAGTCCCTTAGGCAGCCAATGTGGTAGTGAGACAGCTCTCAAATTTAATCAAAAATATCTTCATTTGTGTTCCGAAGATGAATGAAGGTTTTACAGGGTTGGTACAGCATGGGGGTGAGTAATTAATGACTTAATTTTCATTTTTAGGTGAACTAACCCTTTAATTATTGTTATTATTTGTTCAAACTTCCGGATTTGACAATTTTGACTGAGAGGGAGGAAAAACCGAACACAGACTGGACTGAATAAACTTGTATCTCTCCTGCATGAGCACCACGGCTTAACTCGCCAATGCATATATGCTAACTGCTAGGCCAAAACTCTTGAGGGTTTTTGATTCCAGGTACACACCAAAGGTCATTTACCATGTTTACCTCTTTTCTATCCCCCAGGTTATCCTTGAGAGATTTAAATAAATGTCCAACCTCGACGGAATTCATTGTAAGAACACTGTGAAATTCAATGAATCAAACTACAAAAGGCAATAAAAGGCGAATTATCTTGAACAAATGGAATTTAGCTGAGACTGGGCACAGGCGGACTGTAAAACAGGGAATGTCGTTCTGGCAGGAGCAAAAGGAGAAGAAATGAAGAGCAGGAGAAGAGCATAAACAGCTCAGCCTGTCCCCTTACATTCCTGCCGCCTCCCCGCTTTCTACTTCAGACCCTGCTGGTTTAATCAGCTACAACTGTTATGCTTTCCCCACTATACGGTTAAACTTATCCACTCCACAGAAAGATCCCCCACCACTCGGTTACCATAGCAATGTGACTGCAACAGCCCTTTGGATTCAAATTCTGTATCTGAGAGATAGGAGGTCATTGCCAAGGGCGAATTCATTTCACACTGAGCAACATCGGAAGCCGCCAGAGAGAGCGGCATTCTATTCTTAAGATGACCTTGTTTGAGGCTATTCACTAATGTTTACAGAGGAAATCTATCAACATCATTTCAACTGTAAATAACTAAAAGTGTTTCTGGGGGGTTGTGTTATTTCTTTTTAACATGAGACGGTCCCGATCTAAAAGCGTGATTATAAAAACTAATTCTGAAAAGATGAAAACTGACCCACGCACCTTTGGTCATTACAGTTCCTTCTTTGCCTTGGGTGAAGACAACAATCCTCTGCCTTTTCTTGTTCAATTTGGATAAGCTTTGGGCCTTCTTCGCAATCTCCTCAATGTCTTCAGTCTGCGTGAGAGAAAAAACATAGGTAACGCTTTGGATCACAGCCTGGAAAGTACTGCGTAATTAAGAAAAATTTACAGCGTAACTTTCGGTAATTATAAAAAAACTTGCATGTACAGTAAGTATAAGGGAACAATATGTAAAGTTTGGGGAATAAATGGGGTAACAACCAGGAGATCCTACATGTGGGAGCAATTTAGCAAGAACTTACACAGCGTACCTTTTTGTAATAATGGTGTACCAAATACATACTGTATACTAGGCTTTGTAAAAAATTACAGGTGTATTAATAAAGTTTGTTTTATAGCAAAAGTGTTAATGAAGTCTTAATGTACAGACAGGACATGTAACCAATATTTGCGTTTACATTAATTCCCGCCCAATACGATTTTCAGTTATCATTTTACTATCCACATGGTAGACCCTGGTTTTGAATGGCTGTGACATTAAATTTATCTACATAATTCATGTCGGGTGTTTCTGATTATTTGCCAGCATGGACAAGATAACAGCTGTCATGAATGTTTTGCAGCGCAAAATCTGACGGAACAGATAGTTCAGAGAACTTTTTAGTTTATCTACAGCTCAGATCCAAAATTCTGAAGTAAGTAGCCCAATATATATTTTTAATGAATTCAAATGAATTAACCAGAGAGAGAAAGAGAAAGAGAGAGCACATACGTGGATGACGAATGGACTTTGTTGGGATAAATATAATGTAGCTTTCAGTAGTGAAGCTGTTTGTTTATAAAAGTCACGGGCAGAGGTTGAAAACCAGCTTTTGAATGTTTCTGTATTTGCGCAATTTATTTTCTTTACAAAGTTAAATAAAGTCACCACCTCAATAAAAAGCTGTGAGCGAAAGCACACAGGTCCGTCTGCCTCATAACACAACATTAAAAAGTTATATTTATGAATAAACGCGTTTGTCCTCGCCTTGTGGTGGCTCGGACTTTAAAGGGGAATCAGATATGCGTGTTTAGGTCTGATGTCCAGATATCGAATCTGATTTAAAACCACATTCTGAAGTGGCTCAGATGGATGTAAAAAAATCGGATCTCATGTGGATTTGTGTTTACATGTGGGCAACCAATTCCGATCTGTGTCAGATGTAAGTAAAATATCTGATTTGTTGTGCCAGTGTAAATACAGGCTTGCATGTTTCAAGGCAAGTAAAGTTAAAACTATTACAATTTTTAAATACTGGGAAATATACTCTTGTATACTCATGTAGTTACAGGGTAAGTACAATAAATCTAATCTAATCTGAAGAAATAGTCTGAAAGTTTAAAATATTGTAATTTTTCTTACAAACACTTATTGTATAGATTATTGCAGTTATTGCAGTATGTGCTGTTTGATGCTCCAAATTTTAGGAACACATGAGCTTGCATTATATGTATTCTCAGAGATGATTAATTTTTCTAAAAACCTTAATGTGTGTTAATATGAAGAAGGAAAGGCATATACATCTCAGATGGCATGAAGGTAAAAGGTAAGGACACATTTCTGGGTGTACTGCACTTTCTTTTACTATAAAATACAGAATAGCGAGAGACATGATTCTTCTTCAGATTTAACAGTGGAAAGAAAGAAAAAGAAGAAGAGGAACAAAAGGAAGAAGTCAAGCAAGAGAAAAAAAGGGGGGACAAAAGGTGCTACTTTCCGTCAAGACTTTTTTTCTAGCATTTGAAATTAATTGTTGATAAAAAAAAGCGTTTTTAATGCCTATTTTTTGCAAATGTAGTGACAAAAACAAGTTTGGAAACACTTTGTCAAGAAAAAGGGCGTGAATCTGAAAATAATAGCTACAACTGCACTCGTTTCTGAATATTACAAATTAGGTTAAATAAAATAGGTTGAATCCAAAAAGTCTAAATTAATATGAGAATTGTTAAGACGGCAGCTCTACAGACCATTTTAAAAAGTTTCTGAAAATAAATAAATAAATAAAAAATCTGTTTTTAAACGATTTGATGTTATTAAACTCTGAAACCAGAACAACTACTGTACACGGCAAGGCTTTTGTTAAAGATTGTTGCTATATGACCAAACATTACAACCAATCTTATTTATGGACCCTAAAATGCCAAGTGTGTCCTGCGTCCAAACCCATGAGATTCGTCATACAAATGCAGTTACCTGCAGCCCTGTCAGACAAGCTATCACATTTTACCGTGTTCTTCTGATTTCCTAATTTAGTAATTGGCCTATTATTTGTGAAAATAGCAAGCAGTAAACTGATGAATTCCCAATGTCTTATTACTCTCTGCATTTTAAAAATATTTGGGATAATATTTTTTAGGGATAACGTCATTACATACACCATTTCATCTGTAAAAAGGCCAATTGGATGGAAACAGGCCAGAGACAGCTAATTTCGCAATCTTTTTTCAATGCACAGTCACTTTGTTGATAACAAAACAGCACAAAAAGTGGATTGAGATCCTTGTAGAGAGATTGAGAGCTACTGAGAGTCATTTATTTAGGAATCGGACTATAGTCTGGTTGCGCTGTATGTTTCGGTTTCTCTAAGAACCGACTACACTGATCACACTGTGTTTTTTGTGCTGTTGATTCTTTAGCTGTGTTGCTAAACAGTAAAGGAAACACTGTTGGAGTATTTTTTTTACAGTATTATGAAAGAATACATGAGTGAAAACTATTAAAAAACATCATTCAGTCTGGATTTAAAAAAAAAAAATTTTCAATGGAACCATTTCAAAATAGGTACAGACTATTTCAGAATACTGTAGTGGAATAAGCCACTACTACTATTACAATACTCTAACCATATTTATGAAGGTGTAATCACTAATGAGTCAAGTAACAGAAGATATTTTGCATCAGAGTGGTAAAATATAACTATAGCAACCAGTTGTAAATGTTGAAAAACCTGCGCCTCCTGTTTTGACCTTTCTTGTATTGCAGAGCTTACTTGTTTGTCCAGTACAGTCTGCTATTTAAGTGGACTCCAAGCAACCTGTAGGCTACACCACCTCCATGCTATCTCCCTGGAGCCTCACAAACTTCTGCCTGCTGGTAAAATAGTCTATGATTTAGGAGATTGTGGAGGCGTTCACCGGTATTGCGCTGAGCTTGTTACCAAGCCGGAGAGGCATGTTGAGGGCATTGGAGAAGTCCAAGCACAAGATTCTGATTGAGGTGCCAGCTTTGACCAGGTGGGAGTGGGTTCTGTAAAGCATGCAGATCAAAACGCTGTCCACACCTACAGTGGTCCAAAAGTATTTGGACACTTTTGAAAAACCATGATTTTTGTTGCATTAAATGTGGCATCTGCAAATAAATAATGCTATAATTCTCTCAAAAATAACTTAGTCAACTTAGTCATTTTAACAAATCTTTTTAACTAATCTGAAGGTGATTTTTCATGGGTGACAGTTCACACGGGTATCCCAGTAGAGTAACCACAGTTAGCTATCTATGAAAATGTTCCACTAACATTTGACAACCAAAATGTGGCCAAATACTTTGTCATCTTAATTTAAAACAATAGAAAAATTTGCAATTTTATAAAAAAAAAACGACTATATTTCTATAACTTTAAAAGGTTTTCATAGAAAATGTGCTATGCTTTATTAAAATAAATGGTACTTATTTTGATATCTTGTTAAAATATGCAAAGACATACTTCCTAAATACACTGGCCATTGTATGTAGGAAAATCTTAGGTACAGACGGTCTGTGTTCAGTATATATATATATATATATATATATATATATATATATATATATATATAGAGAGAGAGAGAGAGAGAGAGAGAGAGAGAGAGAGAGAGAGAGAGAGAGAGAGAGCGAGAGAGAGAGAGAGAGAGAGAGAGAAAATGAAGGATATTATTTTAAAATATTATATATAAATGATATATAAAACTAATCAATAATAGCATACAAACCTAAAGATAGAGTTGAGAGAAGTTCTCTGATAGGCATGTATGCAAGTACTTGACGTTTAGGGAATTGAGTGAGATCATCTGCATTTCCTAGTCCTCACACCTCCCAGCTGGCACTGGACACAAGGCGCTGAGGGTGGGGGAAAGTGTGTGGAATGGGTGGTGCCGGTGCTGGGGGGTGGGTTTGTCTACTGGGTTGAGTGCTGGTGGTTCGATACCATATCCCCACCCTGAGTCACACAAAGCGCCAGTAAGAGGTTCTGAGGCAGTGCAACCCCTGCCAAAGCTTTAAGTCTGTCACATACCAACTCGTCCCCCTGCCAAAACCAGGCTACAGAGGCTGCTTGGCTACGGCAACCACCAGCCCTTGACACAGTTTTGTTAATGGCGGGGTAGTGTGGTGTCTCAGGCAGGCCCAGCTGCCTCATCACCTCTGCTTCATTCCACACTTGACTAAAAGGGTCCGCTTTCCTGCAGTCTGGCCAATCAGCAGAGCTGATTGAATGGATTCAATCAGCTTACAGCAGCACTCGCTGTTCAAGATATTGACTTCAGTGTGAGTTTACATTGCCAGACAGTTGTTTTCACATGCATTGCATTGCAAGCAAAATTGCCTCAGCAATTCCGTTTTTCAAAAACAGAACAGTAAAAAGTCTTAAATTACTGTCAAGCATCAGGTTTAATGACCAGCGTTTTAATTGAAAACAATAGCCACTTCATAAACATGGATACAGCATACTTTGAGGAAGGTTAACAAAGTGTTCCCATCGTAACTGGCAACAGAATGTAAAACTAAGTAGATAATTACTTCTACGCAAAATTTCACCACAGACAGTACAGGCCTGAGGCCAGACCCAGAAAGGGTGAGTATGAATTTGGTGGCTTTTTTTTAAGCAGAGCCCAGGGCTCTATAAAAACCTTACTATTTTACAGTATCAGCTGACTGCGCACTGTAAATCTGTCAGGGGCTGCGGGTCTATAGGTATCCTGTGACGAGAAGTAGCTGCCTACAAGCCTGCCATTATCCCGTCATTATAACTATCAAACACATGATAGCCATGAGAGAGTGAAGCTACACTTGCTCATGAACAC